ATTATTATTATTATTATTATTATTATTATATATATATATATATATATATTCTAAATTTATTTTACGAAATGTTTTTAAAAAAGTTTGGTCCCGGCGGGGCTCGAACCCGCGACCTTCGGCTCATAAGACCAACGCTCTAAACCAACTGAGCTACGGGACCTCGATGAAAACATTGTTTTAATTATGATAAAGGTTCTAATATCAGAGCAATCTACTAAATGAAAAACATATATTTTTTAAAGGCAAATTGATAGCATCAATTTTATAAAGCATATACTAGTCAGGGTAGGACATTCTTTTTAGTGTCACAATAATCTACTAAGTAACAAGTGACATCGTTTTTATCTGGGTAAAAGGCAAAATTATCTTAGGGTAATAATAAGAGAAAAATAAAAAAAATAAGAAACTTAAGACTTTTTTTTTAACTATTGACAATCTCTTTATTATTTTTTAAAAATAAATAATAAAATAATATTTTATTATTTATTATTTTTATTTTTATTTTTCCTTCCTCACAGCTCTTTGTCGATTGCACCCCTTAGCGCTCCATATTGTGCCTCCTCCGCTCGCGGAGAGTAGCCAACTACTCGCTCATCATGTTCGCTGTCGCGCTCCTCTTGAGCGGCTCCAATAGCACGAGAGCGAGTGTGCACATGCAGCCCACCTACGGCTGCTTGGGGCAAGGGTCCGGCTTGCCCAGTCTTGCTAGATTCGCCACGATGCTTTGCCATGGCGAAGTTGCGAAGTTCCTTCGCTGCTCGCTCGAAGTGCTTGCCCGCTCTGATACCACAATGTCACGGTCTTAGTTGGAATTGCCTAAGGCGTGAGGCACCCTTGCGACCAAGACGTGAACTTAGCTTGCGTTGCCTAAGTCGCACTTCGCCCTTGCGATATTGCTCCGCAAAGATCAGCACACTTATAACCTCTCGTAGGTCCCGAAGGACCTGTAAAAGAGAAAGTTGATTAGTTCGAAAGAACGAGCGACGGACAAGTCCCGACGTCTCACAAAAAGCAGGAAAGTTTTACAAGCAATTTAGCGAGCATCTTGCGTGCATAAGAGAAAAGAGAGAGAGGGGGAAAACAATGGATTTAAAAGGTTGAACGAATAACTGCAAGCGTTGATTGTTGTCCCCCTAGTTATGATTGTTTGTTGAACGAACGAACGAACGAACAATCAACAACCATTGATTGTTGTCCCCCTAGTTATGATCATTACTGATTGCCACCCTCAACCCACTCTCCCCATTGTCATTCATCGCTCCCCAACCCATGCTCTCACCCCACTTATTGCTCTTACGATATTGTCCTCCAACGAGGAAGATGAAAAAGTGGAGAAAAAAAAATAAGAAGAGTAAGAAGAAGAAGGGGAGGACAAAGAAGAATATGAGTATGAAGAAGAGGAAGAGGACGGGGAAGAACAAGAATAAGAAGAGGGTATTTATATTCATTTATGAAAAGATAGTTTTGGGATATTATAAAATTTTAAAATAAAATTATAAATAATAAAGAGGTGATTATAAACAGTAATCTCCAAAATAAAATGTGACAAAAGTATATATTAGCTAGGATAAGACCAATAACAAAAAGATAATCATAGTTTTTTTTATGGACTAATAATGTTAATATATTAGTGATTTTTATGAAGAAATAATGTGCAAACTTGATAATTCATTGATTGATTGTAATGTATATTTATATAGATTTAAGGGAGAGATTTTTCTCAATTATATACTTGCTTATGTATCATGATAATTAATCTTCAAATCATACATTTGAGGATCATAACATATTAAGAAATATAGAGTTTGTCATCTAAATTTGCATCTATCATGACCCCACAAACTTTTATCATTGATGACGATCTTAAAATGATGTAATTGAAAAATCTCACGAATAATTGGCTCATGTCAATCTTGGAATGATACCTATATTATGATAGTTTATTGACTGTAAATAAGATGTTTAGACGAATAAAAGTTGTCATACATATAAATTAGTAGATATATAGTATATCCCTTTTATTATCGTAGAAATGAAGAGTTGTCAAATTTGAAGTAAACGAAGTTAGTTTATATCATAAACAAATCAAGTTTGGTATATCAGACTCTTTGGTGCTTGATGAATTTCATAGATAGCTTTCTATAGTTTATAAATATTATTAAAATATTAAAGATGAATGGAACCCGAGGGTTATTGTATAAATATATCCTCGGTTAAATACTTTTGTAAGAAAACATTGTTAACATCTAGTTATCATACATGCTAGCTTTTTGTGATAGTTAAACTAAGGATAAATTAAATTATTAT